ATACACGTGCAAAGCGCAAGGCTGAATTAACAACAAACCATTGTCAAATCTCTTCCCATGCATGCCGGAAAATAGACCAATCAGGTTTCACCTTTTCGTCTACATAGTTTCCTGCTTGGATCAGTAAGCCTCATTGTCGGTCACTTGCAAGCAAAATTGTATGACCTCTGCGGCAAAGTACTTCGAAATTATACTTTTGGAAAAGATATTTCTTGGATATAAAACAACGGTCAGTAACACAGTATTATTCAGTCAGTCAGACGCAGTTTATTCAAATATAACTCTGCCACGGGCAACCGCTTTTACTCTTCTGGTGGACAAAGGAATACTAACGTTGGCTCAAATATTGATGTATGATTCAGTGAGACGATGTTTATTCAAATATAACTCTGCTGCGGGCAAGCGCTTTTACTCATCTGGTGGACAAAGGAACACGTTGGCTCAAGTATCGATGTGTGATTCAGTGAGACGCAGTCTATTCAAGTTTAACTCTACCGTGGTCAGGCGCTTTTACCCTTCTGGTGGACAAAGGAATACGTTGGCTCAACCGATGAAGTTAAATGAAACCGCCACTGGGGGAATTATAACAAGATCGAGAGGCTAAACACGAATTCAACAAGCGTCATTTGATATCATTCGTATATCAATGTATTTATGTATGCACATGCATTTGGTGCGTAAGTATGCGGTGAATTCACACGTTTGCTTCGTATTTCGCTTTTCAAACCAATCAAAATGCTTTAACTTCATTTATTTTATCACAGAATTCGGGTATAGTAATTGTCGAACGCCAAATGTATCGACCATTCAGGCATTCACGGTAAATCGATCTGTATTTCAATGTCAATTTTATTACCATCTTGAGGTTATTAACCGGCCAGTTGGGCCTCTGATTCGGGAATTGGGTTTCAATAAAGTGTCACATTAAACTGTATTCAATCATTCAAAAGTAGATTATATAAAACTTCCTTTCTAGCTATTTCAAGGCACTCTTTAATAAAACAAACACTTAATTTATTTGGCCCGTATACATTATCAATACTTTAGCACAACATAGGAAATCAAGTTCATGTGTGAGAGAAATTTAGGATCTACTTTATCTACATTTGTGATAAATCGGCAAGTTGGATGTCATGAAAGATTGGTATACGTACAGTGTATGGTATGTCGCTACTCATGAAAATTCATTTTAGTGTCTTATCACTATACTGCATGATCTTTAGTCTACCAAATACATATTCTTACAATTTCTGCTATTCTCATGCATGCATGATTGCATGTTCAATCACAACACTGTGGTTTAATATAAACACCTGAATTGCATTTTGAATTTTTGATCCTGCTATTTTAAAATATTGAACAAGCTATTTTTCCGAGATTAAAGAGTCACATACATAATTCGAGAATTATATTATGTCAAGTTCCACCAATCATAATTCAAATAAATAAAATAAGTGGAGTTAACAAATACATGTTGCAAAATTGTCAACGAGCACATTGACATTAAAAATAAATAAATCGTAAAAAAAAACCCCAAAAATGATGGTGAGCTTTGTTTGTCGTGTTACCAACCCTCCAATCACGCACTTGTAAGATAGAAGCTTTGTGGGGAAGCTGCTGGTTGTCTTGGCCCCATCCAGGTTTCCTGTAAAGATATTGCAGGTTTTTCCTGGCCTCCCTGATGTTCCAGCTGTAGTATGAGTGATGGTAATGCTCAAATATATGTCTTACGATCAACTTGTAGTTTCAAAAAAAAAAAAAAAAAATTCTATTTGCATATAACATGATTTTAATCAATTAATTATTTAAAGTGTGTCGAAAGAGAAATATAGACGATATGTCTTCGAAAAGCACAAAGATCATCTGTCAGAAGCTGTCTTCTATACGATTACAGTTGTGGTGGGAGTTGGGTTTTTTCGTCTATGGGGAATACACATGCTGTGTATTTGTGGGGATGGAGTGCTCCCAAAGGTCACCCTCAACCCCATAGACTCACACAAATCAATGTATTATACAGTGTATTGTAAAGTAAACAATGACCATCACGGGGATCTACTACCCCTTGGACATTAAAGTAAACAATGACCATCACGGGGATCTACTACCCCTTGGACATTAAAGTAAACAATGACCATCACGGGGATTTACTACCCCTTGGACATTAAAGTAAACAATGACCATCACGGGGATCTACTACCCCTTGGACATTAAAGTAAACAATGACCATCACGGGGATCTACTACCCCTTGGACATTTAAGATGCCCATCTCGGGGATCTACTACCCCTTGGGTAAAGTCCAACATGGGGGAACCACAACCCCCTGAGGACATATAATTATATCATAATCATATTGCTGTAATAGTGAGTCTGTGGGGCGACACTTTGGCCACAGTTTAAAGTATAATCGGAGCATTTCTCCTCGACAACCCTTCTCCCACAACATTGTGTGTCATAGTTGTTTTCTTAATTGTCCTAGAATATTTGCTTAACGAATTGGTGCATTACCGGTACAGTATCGTACCTCAGGACTACATTAATAAACAGCCCCCAGGTTACGCGAAGTTTTGCCTTAGCGGATATATGAATTATAAAGAAGAGCCTATGGCCTATATGTTCCTCGTTTCAATATTTGTCACATGCAAAACTGGTGGTGATGCATAGCTCCGAACCATTAGGCATTCACATACTAACTAAATATTTAAATTGTTCTTTATTCGTGATTACACAGCATGGTGCCTATCATTCTCACAGTAAATTTTTGAGTATGGCTTTGGGAAACAAAGAAGCATATTTCAGATAGAGATTGTTGTTATTTGCCTTTTGTATGTATTCAGTGCGGCCTGACTAGAGAAACTATAATCTGATATAAACCATGTTCGCTGTATGTTGTGTGCCATATCTTACTCGCAGACAAGTGCTCATTTCCAACAAGGCTAAAGTGGTTGTAGCCGGAGAAGAAACATTACTCTGTACTTTGGAACTAAAGAATAAAGACACGAGTGCAAATATTGATAATATTCGACTCGAGTACGAGCTGTATGCCAGGAGCAGTCTAGTGGAGGAACCTAATGTCGCCCATTGCTGTGTATCTCGAATTTCGCGTGACAAGTGTAATATATTCATCAATGTCTCCGAAAGTACTGTAGTTAAACTGACTAAAGTGATATTAGATCTTGGTTGGAAGTACAGACTTGCTGATAACGAGATTAAGTTTAAGATAAAGACAGCCAGCCCGATGTTAAGTCCAATATCTTCAGCGAATAGCTCCAAACCTGATATCAGTGCATTGAGCATGAGTGATGAATATAGCCCTAGATTACCAAATATTACCCGCTTGCAACTGAATAAATCCCCTATGTCAAAATGTTATGTATCACCTAGCCCTAGCCCTACAGAATCTTCGTTCTCGTTCTCGGATCATGAAGGAAGAAGCCAGAGAACTACGTCGTATTATTTATCATACCCCCAAGCATCTGCACATCATAGTTCAGTTGAAGCTGCTCTGCTGCCTGATGGAATTGGTTTGATTGAAGCAGGAACTCCTGTGCATTTCAAGGTTAAGGTGAAAGATACTGAAGGGGAGGCATTGCCGAAGAGAACTAAGTTGAAACTAATTGTCAAATTAGGAGACGAAACAATATTCGCGGGTGTTACACACAAAAAGGTCTTTAAATTAACTAAAGTTGAAGCGAGAGAGTTCGCTGTATTATTTTATATAAATGACGAACTCGTTCCAGGCAACCCTTTCTATGTAAACGTGTTGCCTTTGCCCGCATGTTCTATTTCAAATTTCGCGTTTGACGAGGATCGTCCCCGAGTGAAACGGTACAAAACTCAGTCTGATGCAATGTATGTAAAATTGGGAATGATATGTCATGCAGATATTATTGATAAATATGGAAATAAAGTACACGAGAATTGCGATGTTAAAATTATGACTAAACCAGTCATTGAGGTTACTGCAGTTCACGTGAACGAAGGACAACTCCAGTTTAAGACAAAAGCGGTGGAAATTGGTCAAGTGGAGTTTAGTTTCATTTTGAAAGAAGAAGGTTCACAGACTGAAATTATGGCAAAGAAAGAGGTTTATGTCAAGCAGCTATCCATGGATGACCAATTTGTCTTTAAGACATATATATAATCTGGTGAAACTATGCAGACAAGAGAAGGAGTGTCTGATGTGTGTTTACTAATCATTAAACTGCTGAATAACATTAAACGAAATAGAACAGAAACATCTTGAGAATTTGCGCCCGTACGTAGTGCGCTACAAAATAGAGAAGTAATCTTCGTAGAATAGAGAAGTAATCTTCGTCGTTGATTCGCTAAAATAGAGAAGTAGTGTTCGTCGTTGATTCGCCAAACGACAAAACACCAGGCAAAGTCAAAGGAAAATTTTACGTTGTAAGAGAATAACATAACATAACATTTATTAATTTATATCGCGCAAATTCAACAATGCAGTTTTCAAATGCGCGTTACAACAATGGATAGGTAGAACTAATATTACAAATTAAAATACGTAGAACTAATATTACAAATTTAATCTAAGAACTGAGCTAATAAAAAGCCTCTTTAAAAAGATATGTCTTAAGATCTTGCTTAAAAATATTAAAATTAGAGATACTCCTAAGATTCAATGGCAAAACATTCCATAGTTTTGGTGCAGCAGCCATAAAGGCTCTGTCACCAAGAGTAGACAATGTCTTAAAATTTGGCGGACATAAAAGAAGTTTGTTATTTGATCTTAAGCTATAAGAAGAGTTTGTTTTAAAAGTTATAAGTTCAGTTATATAATTAGGGGCAGTTCCATGAATTGCCTTAAACGTAAGTGTAATTATCTTATATTCAATTCGATATTTGACTGGCAACCAGTGTAACTCATACAACAGCGGAGTAATATGGCTAAACTGTGGTGCACGGTAGAGAATCCTTGCGGCAGCATTCTGAACACGTTGTAATTTTGCTATAGCATTGTTGGGAAGTCCATATAACAGTCCATTGCAATAGTCTAGGTGACTGGTAACGAAGGCATGAACAAGTTTCTCTGTTGATTCTCTGCTTAAATACTTGCGAATTCTTCTTATATTATGCAGATGATAAAAAGCACTTCTACAGGTCTTATTGATATGGTGATTCAGGTTGAAGGTACGGTCAAACCAGGCGCCCAAGTTCTTGATAGGTTCTTCAGATGGTGAAATCACAGATTCACCAATAGTTAGAGTAATGTTCTTGACTTTAGCGAGCTGAGCTTTTGTTCCAATTAACATAAATTCCGTTTTTTCATCATTTATCATCAACCTATCAGTAATCATCCAATTCCGGATGTCTCGTAGGCAATTCTCCATAGCTAAGATGGCAGCATCCTGAGCATTACTCTTACGAGCATTACTCTTACGTTTAAAACTGTAACGTAAAATATTCTTCTGATACGAAAAAAATATAGGAGACAAAGGAACTGAATATTCTGCAACGAAAATCCACCTAGTCTTTGTCATTGCCTGTGTAAGTTAACATGTTCGCTACACACTTTAACATCAACTAATGGACTAATGCATGCATGTAAAGTTAAGAAGAAGTCTGTAGAATAATTTGTAATTAATTCATAACTTAAAACGTGCAATATAATATGATTGGAACAGTCAAAGTGACATACAATCAATGCATACAATAGATCATCAGTTAGTCGACTGACGCAAGAAGGATTGATTCAAATTGAGAGTGATTGTAGAAGGTGATTCGTCAAGGATTGAATGTAAAGACGAGTATATTGTTGTAAACGAAGCTCATTTTATAATAAATACGAGGCCCGTTTACACGGGCGATTTTTGCTGCGATTGTGGTTGCGATTTTCTCCTTTTGGAGGATGTGAAGGAGTAGATTATTAATGATGATGTTGTTATGAGATTTGATACTGGAATATTTATAACTCATCCACTCCTTCACATCCTCCAAAAGGAGAAAATCGACAACTAAAATAAATCGCAGCAAACATCGCCTGTGTAAATGGGCCCATGGTCTTAAACTACGTGCGCGTGTTTATGTTACCGATGGAGATAGTTGCGGTTGATAGTATATATATATATATATATATATATATATATATATATATACACTGGATCCAGAAAAGTTTGACCTTCGAATATATATATATGTCGGCCATTTTGAATTTTCTTGGGTTAATTATACGCGAACGCATACATCAAATGTCGCTCGCAACGTACTGTATATTGCAATATTCCAACAGCTCAAATAAGTAGAGGATCATTGCTTGAAGTTCTTACACGTATTTGTAGTAGCTGTCTAATGAACACTTGAGGGTTGTTAGCTAATTAATTCTTGTCACAATTTGGAACCTTATCTTTTTGGCATGTCGTAATTTATTCTTTTGCATCCTTAGAGATTTAGACGCTTATTAGCATGCCTCGATGAATTTCTTTGTTTATTCTTTCGTATTCACTTGTGCTTATTTTATAGCTGTAACCTACGTCCAGAATTATTATATTAAAGAGTTTGGCAACCTAGAACGGCAACGACAACTGCAACGGGGAAAATATAATTGCTTATATTGTTGTATTTGAGCCAAAGTATACGTTACTACACTTAATTTGCCTCATTAAGTATTCCTGTTTCTTTCAAACGTACCCTTAAATAAAAATAGTCCGCGAATTCAATAAAACTCTCAAATAACATCGAACGAATGAATTGTTGCCGTAGTCATGCACCGTGAAAATGATGCAAATCACGTATTAGTTTCAACAACTACGGCATTGCACAACGCTTAAGACCATGTAATTTACATTCGCCTTTGTCTTTGAGGATTAATGCTATTGTTAATGACCATATTGCCGTTGCGGTTGCCCTTGTATTTGCCGAACTCTCTATTATATTTTGCCAACGGAAATTTTAACGGAATCGATAGTCATTCGATATTTCATCCCCTGAAACTCAGCACACGCAGCATTCGTGACCTGGCGAAGCAGAAACGTTCATTTCCTACTAGCCATTATGTTTATTTCCAAATGTTCATTTCCTACTAGCCATTATGATTATGTGCAAAGACATCAATCAATGATTCTTTTATTCATTTGAGCTGTTGGAATAATATTGCAATATACAATACGTTGCGAGCGACATTTGATATATGCGTTCGCGTATAATTAACCCAAGAAAATTCAAAATGGCCGACATATATATATATTCGAAGGTCAAACTTTTCTGGATCCAGTGTATATATATATATATATATATATATATATATATATATATATATATATATATATATATATATATATATATATATATATATATATATATATATATATATATATATATATATATAATTTCATCAAGTAATTTCCTGTTTTTAAGAATAAAGAGTGCTCAATACAAGACAATTGTAGAGCATTTAATAATAATTTAATATTTTAATACAATTTTTCAATTGAATAAGTTGCTACTTTAAGTTTCATGCAACAAGCAATCATCCGGATTACGGATGCATGATTGCTTGTTGCATGAAACTTAAAGTAGCAACTTATTCAATTGAAAAATTGTATTAAAATATTAAATTATTATATATATATATATATATATATATATATATATATATATATATATATATATATATATATATATATATATATATATATATATATATATATATATATATCATGGTATTTTTTGTCAAGTGTTTGTTTCACTTACGACATATCACTGTTTAACTCAATTACCTCGTATTCCTTCCACTCGCGAGTTACTAACCTACTGTCACATATAGTTTAGCTGCAGGCCTTGTGACCCTGCATGGACGCTTAAAAGGAAAGAATACACACACACAAGGATTTTAAGATTTTATTTACTCAGCCATTACATAATCTCCATAATTTAACTCATGAACGAACAGCGGGTTTGAAGCCGTATTCGGGCGTCGTTTACGTTTCCTGCTTCTAGGCATATCAGAGTATCAATCTCTTATAAACACTGGATCCACCGAGCAAGGACGCCTACATTTATAGAGAAAAGTAGACTAAACTGCGCATGACAGGTAACCTTGTTCAGGGACAGTGACGCGTGATGCCGTGATCAATTATTTATACATGTTTATTCATGTTGCCATATAAATGTCATAATAAATATATGTCATGCGCAGTTTAGTCTACTTTTCTCTATAAATGTAGGCGTTCTTGCTCGGTGGATCCAGAGTTTATAAGAGATTGATACTCTGATATGCCTAGAAGCAGGAAACGTAAACGACGCCCGAATACGGCTTCAAACCCGCTGTTCGTTCATGAGTTAAATTATGGAGATTATGTAATGGCTGAGTAAATAAAATCTTAAAATCCTTGTGTGTGTGTATTCTTTCCTTTTAAGCGTCCATGCAGGGTCACAAGGCCTGCAGCTAAACTATATGTGACAGTAGTTTAGTAACTCGCGAGTGGAAGGAATACGAGGTAATTGAGTTAAACAGTGATATGTCGTAAGTGAAACAAACACTTGACAAAAAATACCATGATATATAGCTCATAGTGCATTATGCAGAAAGTACTTGCCGTGCTATTCGAGCACTCTATGCCATTTTATTATAGTTGAAAACGGTTTGCACCAGTTACTCGCATCCGGTCAATCCCCACAAGATGGGTTCATCCCGGGCAAGCTTTGTAACAGATTCTATAACCTGAAGGAAACAGGACAAATGCGGCACTTTATAATCACTCATTTCATATTGAAATTCGAGTACTCTGTGTCATATTTATTATGACATTTATATGGCAACATGAATAAACATGTATAAATAATTGATCACGGCATCACGCGTCACTGTCCCTGAACAAGGTTACCTGTCATGCGCAGTTTAGTCTACTTTTCTCTATAAATATAGGCGTCCTTGCTCGGTGGATCCAGAGTTTATAAGAACGATTGATACTCTGATATGCCTAGAAGCAGGAAACGTAAACGACGCCCGAATACGGCTTCAAACCCGCTGTTCGTTCATGAGTTAAATTATGGAGATTATGTAATGGCTGAGTAAATAAAATCTTAAAATCCTTGTGTGTGTGTATTCTTTCCTTTTAAGCGTCCATGCAGGGTCACAAGGCCTGCAGCTAAACTATATGTGACAGTAGTTTAGTAACTCGCGAGTGGAAGGAATACGAGGTAATTGAGTTAAACAGTGATATGTCGTAAATGAAACAAAAAATACCATGATATATATATATATATATATATATATATATATATATATATATATATATATATATATATATATATATATATATATATATATATATATATATAAAAATCAAGACAAGTGGACAGTTAACCACGCAGCAAACAAATTCTGATGGAAATGCAATTCAGCAACCGATCTTCTTTTATAATTTCTACCCCACTCATACAGACATAGCTGCACAGCATTAATTATTTATCGTGTGTGTTTAGGTATTATAGTAGGTATTGTATCTTCCATGGTCAGGCAATCAACCGCAAAGCGAACGAGCAATTAAGTTGATTGCAATCAGTGTTTTCAGACTTATGGTGCCATAGATAGTGGCCTATAATTAGCTCTCTAAGGTCGATAATCTATCCTACAGAGTAGTTCAAATAGCAATTCTCATGTTGAGATCTTAGCTCACCGGCGTCGCCAGTGCTTCAGTATACGCCAAAAATGCATTGTCTTTCACCACGCAAATATTTTCATAGACATGGACAAAATGATAGAAGAAAGACTTTCGAGCAGATTCCAGACCAAATTTTCATTGACCATGCATGGAAGGAATGAACTCTATTTGATTAAATTTTTACATTGTTGCTGGTATAACAGCTATTATTATATATACACAAGGTCTGGATAAATATATCAGGCTATTCTTTGCAATGGTCCTTTATATAAGTATAGGATAATAAATATATACAACAATAAAATTAAAACAGCTAGTATAAATATACGTTCCCCTAATGTTATACTGTATATAGGGACACCAGTGACGGAAATTCACTTTTTCTGGGAGGGGGGTAAAACCTCCTAAATTTCCAACAAAGCCTTCAAATTTCCGACAAACCCTCCAATTTGCACTCGAAAAGGAGGCTGTTTCTAGTAGCCCTCTTTTAGGTCAGCATTTCCGAAATTTTGTCAAATTTCCGTTACGGTGGGGAGCAGTCAATAAGTTTTGTATTGTGTACCAAATGTCAAAGAAACAAATCCATAAAGAAACGGGAAATGTCCATAAATTTTGCTTTATAATCTTTTAAAAAATTATGTAAGACGAAAGACTTTCGAAACGGTAGTTCAAGATCAAATCATGGTTTTGATTGGCCATGCATGGAAGGAATGAACTGCATGTGTTTGGGTAAATTGTTGTTAGTATATTCTTCCCACTAGTCCTTTATATGTAGGGTATTAGATATTTGCAACAATAAAAATAGCTATAGTGCTGCAAAACTTACAGGTGCATGAATTTGATTACTATAATTTCAGACTGCAAGCTATAGGGTAGCGAACCATAACAGAAAGCGTGGGGTAGACTTGATCAGTTAATTCCCTGACCAAGTAAAGTTTAGCTATTGACTCGACTCGACCACTGACTTGACCAGTGACTCGACTCGAGTGATGCCGCTTACTCGATCAATTCGATCAGAAACTGAAATGACTCGACCCGACTCGTGACTCGACCTTTGAGTGACTCAACTCATGACTCGACCTGTAGGTGACTCGTTACAACACTGCATTTTCGGCCCAAATGTGGTAGCAATTTCCGTATGCACGCAATACAAAAGCTGACTCGTCCCCAGTCGTCTCTGTGAGCACGCGCGAATTGGAAGACGGGCGCAGGGGTGGCTTTTATATTTGTTTTAAATTTTTGTTTTAAATTTTCAAGCAATTTCTCGAGCTCTATTTTCAAGACCTTTAGAGACGACTGGGGACGAGTCAGATAAAAAAGTATACAAAATTTGCGAACTTTGCAACCGCTATATATTTTGCGCATTTGACAACATTTCGCATCCAAACTTTGCAATGTTACTCATTTTAGCATATGACATTGTTCTTTCTAGCTGTGGTGATTTATTTGCATCTCCTTGCCGAGTGTATTCATTTTACGAGTCAAGCTCGAGCCCGAGTCACGAGTCCAATTGGAGTCAAGCTAAAAATTTCTAACTGCATACAATCGTCTACACACTTCCCAGAAAAAGCTTTCTCACACCCTCGACACACCTCCGAAATCAACTGTTATGCTTCCTGTTTGCCTCAAAAATGAAGGTTACCAGCCTATGTGTGGGTTATATATATATAAAATTGAATCAATGGCCTCTGGTGAAGGTATAGTAAAAGCACGGTTTACTTAAAAATATGTATGCAACCTGTTTCAATCATATTATAAACCGTTACGAAGTCGTGCAGTTTTTCATCTACTTGTCTTTTAAGGTCCATACGGACCACGCGATTCGGCAACGCGACGCGAATTTTCAATTTTCAATGACATTTAACTTTATATATTTAATTATAACTTTAATATTTTTCTATGTTTTTCAAATATTTGGAACCACTTAAGCAATTTTAACTATTTGGTCTGCATATCTTATAAAATTTTTAACCGTTCACAGTTTTATTTGTTTTTAAAAACAGAAAATTCGCGTAGCGTTGCCGAATCGCGTTCGGTCTGTGTGGGCCTTAATTAAAGGTGTATTGCTTACACTTTTTTAAAAATTAAAGATTTTCTGATTTGAATATGAATTTGTGGAGAATTGTTATTTGTTTTAAAACAGAGAGTATCTGATTGGTATAACACAATAACTAAGGAGTTCGGAATTTTAAAAAAACTCGTAACTGCCGTTGCTATGGCAACAATGACGTCACAACATGGCGGATATTTTAAGTTTAAAGTAACTTAACTTAGTTGAAATTTTTAGTAAGTAATACGTTTCTTTACGTCTAAAATTATGGTATTTCAATAATATTCAAAAATAGGCTTTGCAAAGCCTGCACAAACGGTTGTTGGCTTACCCACTCGCAAATTAGGGATTACCTGATTTCTCACAAACAGAATTCCCATAGTCGTTGTCTCACTTGTCTGTACACTGGCTCGTCCACAGTCCCACAAATATATAGCGGTTCCATGGCCTTTGCCGTAAAAGGACACCCAGGCATGTGGGAATAAACCATCGAATTCCCATCATTCAACGCGAGATAAGCGACTGGGCCGAGTCAGGTTTGTGGAACAACAAACAACAAGCGACGGTGAGAATGTAAATAAAGTAAGATGCGCTACTTCATAAAGTATACTTACCTGCATCAAAATTGGAAATTAAACTATAAAAATTGTCAACGTAAAAAGCACAAAAACGAAGTCTATAGGTTGAATCGAATTTGACTCGTGACTCGAAATTGACTCGTGACTCGTGCTTGACTCGAGCTTGACTCGTGAAATGACCTAACCCCTTCTTGCCTAGTTTTAAAATTAGTCTATAATGGGAAATTGGGAGTTGTCTATTGGACAAGGTGAGTCAAATCGAGAGCTCTGTTTCTGTAATAGTTCGGTACCCTGGATTTCAGTTTGTGAAATTAGACTTTAATTAATCATGCTTTGTAAGTTAAATTAAAACGATATAGCACTTCATAAAAACCAAAAATGAAAAGAGTCGTTCAAAATGAGTATAAGTACACAACATTTTGAGACTCCATTCTAAAAATTATAATTGTGGCACTACCGTTGTTCCTAAAAACAGAAATGAAAAAAGCATGCCCGTCATGAGAGATATGTTTCATGCAAATCCCCATATCCCCAAATCCCCATATATTTTCTGATAAAGTTTCGAAGTTCTCATTATTCACCGCGGACTCATTGTTCTTCCCAAGCAATACAATCACAATAATTTTGATGAATTTATTCTGTACAAGTTGTAACTGAGTTGACTCGAGTCATTTACCGCAAAAATCAGCAAGTCGAGTCAGAGTCGAGCCATTTGGGCCTGCTGACTCGAGTCGAGTCATTTTTCGTATTGGACTCGAGCCGAGTCGCTGAAAATAGTCTATAAAGGGAATTGTCTATTGACTCGACTGGTCTCTTCATGAATGCAGCCATTGACTCGACTCAGAAACACGTCTCGTGACTCGACCTGCGGGTGACTCGTTACAACACTGATTTTGTAGGTGAACTATGGCTGCGTTCAGACTGAGTGCCAGGCACTGGTGCCTGATGTTCAAACTGGCTCCCAAAACATGTTTAGCACATGCATTGCCGTTGTTGAATAGTCACCTCTAGAAGTAGCTAGGGCACCAGTGTTGGGCACCCAGTCTGAACGCAGCCTATGTTAAAATCTTGTGAAAGTCCCTATCTAATGCATTGATTGTGTGTTCGTCAATCTTATAATTGGCTGTGGTAGCAAAATATCGAATACTGAATGTGGGGTTTTAAGTTTGAATTATTATGAATATTTCTAGTAAGAATACGAATACTTCTGGCGAGAATATGAAAATTAACAGTAAGAATACGAATATTAAATCATAGTAAAACCAGTCTCCCCCAAAATTAAATTGGTAGAATATATGGCGCCATAGATAGTCACCTGAAGGGCAAATACACAATAGGTAATTTACTCTGCACGGTTAGTTAATCAGCTGTGAAGCTAGTTGTCTATATCGCAAACTAGAACGCGGATTACAAGGCCGCATCATGTACACGAACACTGAATATGCATGTACTGAAGACAAGTTACTATCACCAGGGAATTAATCAAATCATGTACAGAGCATACCAAGTCAAATACTCGAGAAAACGTAGAAACCCATGCAATACTGTCATGCATGCTATTGGTTTTATCTATAGCCAATAGACCTTTCCCCTTATAACTAAAATTTTGATCTAGACAAGTCTAGACAAACATTTCATCACAGCTTGAAAGAGCATCACACAATTATAGTAATATTCCGAAGTTTCGTTGCGAAATGTTGTAAAATGCGGATAATATAGCCCTGCGAAGTTTGCCGTTTTTCAGTAATTTTGTATTACAAACGGGAGATTGATGCCCAAACACCCAATTGGGCTGTCAATTTCCCGTGCGTAATACAAAATGACTGAAAAACGGCAAATTTCGCAAAGCTATATTACCCGCATTTTATAACATTTCGCAACGAAACTTTGGAATATTACTAATTTTGTGATGCTATTTCAAACTGTGATGAAATTTTTGTCTAGATCAAAATTTTAGTTATAAGGGGAAAGGTCCAAAACGTTATTGTCCTTCAAATTAATCTTAAGCATTCAGCTCACAATGTATGATGGGTAACTTTCTTAAACTCGGGGAAAAGGTTAGTTGTTAGTTCGCTGACCTCAGAAAGACATTTCGTCAAAATGTTTTTCTTCAAGATTGGTTTAGAAACAAACTTGGAGCTGGGTTAGGTTAGAGTTAGGATTATGATTATAGGGCCAGAGAGTTGGTGTTTGGAATAGGGTTATCGTGTTAGTAAAACCGTTGCTTTGTTACGTTTTGTCATTCTGAGGCCAGCGAAATAATTAACCTCTTCCTAAACTCTGGAAATTTGCTTTGCAACAATGCTAGGGCATATATAATGAACATTTTCGATGTAGCGCTGTTTGGTTCGCTAAACTAACGTCTAATGTCCAATATTTATATACGTTCCAAATAAGCATGCCCATGCATCATATCTTACGCGCCGGCTCATTCCGCTCAATGTTAAAGGTTTAAGATTTACAAAATTGAAATGTTGTAGTATATATACATATGAGCAATCCAAATTTCATTTTACTGTAAATCGGTTTCTTTATATATAGCATTTATGTGGACAGCAGACCAAAATAGCTTTGATCATTTAGAATGTTAGGGTTTGTAATCCAAGTGAGTGTATATACATTTTAAGACCTGACCAGGAACGACTGCGAAAAATGCAGCACAAGGTCCTCTGGTAGGAATTGACAACACAACCCGCACACCCGAATACCTATATATACATGAACTTACGGTTACAGCTCAACAGCTGGCCTCTGTAGCTGAGGCAGCGTTTACACTGTACCGTTTTCGTAGCGTTCTCGTATTGTTCTTAATCCTCAAGGGAACGCAAGACAATAGTCTAGTTCTCTCGAACAATACGAGAACGCTACGAAAACGGTACAGTGTAAACGCTGCCTCAGTTGGGTAGAGCGCTGCACCGGAATCGCAGAGCCATAGGTTCAATTCCTACCAGAGGACCTTGTGCTGCATTTTTCGCAGTCGTTCCTGGTCAGGTCTTAAAATGTATATATACTCACTTGGATTACACACCCTAACATTCTAATATTAATTCCACCAAGTGAAGTGCAAGAAACCAAATCATTGAAGTCCACCTTAATCATTTGAGATATCATTGACAATTTGTAAACTACAGGGTGTCCCCCAAAAGAGAAAACTATTGAAATTGAATGTATTGTTATAGAATTTGAATGCCTCGACACCCTGCTGAACCCACGCCTACATCAAAGCTGGGTCGGCACGAAGCTCTAGGAAGATGTTCTGTGATTGATTGATTATGACTGTTTCCTTAGTTCAAGATTAGACACGACGACGAACGCAACATTTCAGGATTTTGATCAATTTAATAATACATAAATGTGATACCAGATAATCTGAAGCTACAAAATACAAATATGACAATGTTTACGATATAGATCTAAGAAATAAAGTTCAAAATGGCGAAAAGTAGGTAAACGTACATTTGTCCGACTACGTCCATCGTTTCTAACCTTTCTTCAACAATAAAATCTAAATAATTTGTTTCTTTACTTTAGTTTCACTTCGTGCTGGCCGCCATCTTTGTTTTCGTTTATTTCGCCCCAGTCCTCTAGCGGCTCTTGCTTTCAAACGCAACATACCCCCGGACAATGGGAGAATCCCATTTAATCTTTAAAGCCTTCGACAGGATAAATAACACAGAGCTTCGTAATTGGGCGTCTATAATTTCCAGTTGCTGTTTTCACTTCCACATTTCTGATTAATCCGTCATCTCCTGGGAATACTCGGATAACTCTTCCATTTTGCCAATTTCCCCGTACAGCATTAGGATCAGCGATGATAACCCAGTCATCTACGCGAATATTTCTATTCTTTCTGTTCCATTGTTTTCTTGGTACTAAGCGAGGCAATACTTCTACAGACCATCTCTTCCAAAACGAGTCTATGATCCTTTGACAGAATTCGAATCGGTGACGTGGGTTGTTAGTTTTGCGGAACGGTCCTTGTGGAACAGCGTTGGTGGCTCTGCCTAAGAGGATGTCATTAGGACAAATATATGCTCCGTCATCGGGATCTTGCGACAGCTTACCAATAGGACGTTGATTCAGCAGATTAGCTACTTCTACAAGACACGTGTGTAGCTCGAACGGCGTTAATAAAGTGTCTCCAATCGCTTTCTTGATCGCTTTCTTACAGGACTTTACCATGGACTCAGAACATCCATTTTGGTGGGGGGCAAGAGGTGTTGTGAACTGCCACGTTATTCCTCTGTCGGCACAGTACTCCTTTAACTTGTTCTTATCCCAACCTTCGATCATAGCTCTGAGCTCGTTCTCTGCTCCGACCATCTGAAGTCCGTTATCAGACAGCATCAATTTCGGGTAACCTCTGTACGAGAAGAATCTTCGTAGGACTTGAAGAAACTCCATCGCACTTGCGTCAACAGCGAGTTCGCAATGAACAGCTCGCGTGTTCGTGCACGTAAATATAACTCCGTAATGTTTTGTCGTTTTATTTCTTCCGACTTTCACCTTTATTGGACTAAAATAATCGCAGGAGGTAAACATAAACGGTGGTGTGTAAGGCTGAAGGCGTGATGCAGGTAAGTTGGCCATAAACTGGTTCTCTACTTTGGCTTCGATCTTTCTACATAAAGTACAACGATTTTTCTCTGCTTTGGCGACGTCGTGACCTCGGATCACCCAATATTTTCTTCTGGTTCTTGCGGTTGTGGTGTCAACGCCTGAATGGCTGATTTGGTGGGCATTGCGTATGACGAGTACAGAAATCCAATGCTTTCGAGGCAACAGGGCCGGGCGTGTGTTATCGTAAGATACAAGACTTGGGTTGACACGACCACCAACTCGGATGATACCTTTTGGATCTACGAATGGGGTTAACGTTTTAAAGTCTCCTTTCTTCATCCGCTTCATAAGGTCGATTTGAGCAATCTTTAGCCAGTATTCTTCTGCACTCTGGATCTCTATGGGGTTAAGAGGACCTTCGTAGGTGGGAAAGTCCTTGTTGCGGGATAACTTCGCTCGGACATTATGGCAGAATCGAAGGACATAAGCGGTGGTTCGAAGAAGACGTTTACAGGATGAAAACTTCGTGCAGTCGATTATTGGTTCCAGGACATTGGTGGCGCATGTAATAGTTACTTTTCTTCTTTCTTTGTTAAGTTCTTTCATATCCGGTAGACCACGTTGGGTAGGCCATTGCTCTTCGGCTTCCTATTACTGCGGCTTGAAGCTCAAGGCGAGGAATTGTGAGCTCTTTGAGTGGTGCAACCCTTGACTTAGCTGCAACAAATCGTACACCGAATTTTCCATCTCTTTGTTTCCAACTTATGTAGGTAACTGCACCGAATGCTAAACGAGATGCATCACAGAACACGATAAGACAGGGTTTACCAAAGGCTTCAGATGGCGTTAGACAGCGATCAAATTTAACATCATTGAGCTTTCTAATTTCTTTGAAGATATGAATCCACTTTTCTCTCAAGGCTGATGGAACTTCATCATCATCCCACTTCAGACAGAGTTGCCACAGTTCTTGTAAGGCAATCTTCGATTTGATCACAATGGCCGCTGCAACTCCGATCGGATCGAAGATGGCTGCAAGTTTACTTAGGATTTTTCGCTTTGTCAACTTTGATGGAACGTCAGGACTTTGGTTGGTCGTTACGTCTCCAGACTTAAAATTTTGTACGACAGCTTGTCTTCTTTGGGTATCCAAACAGTTCCAAGAACTCTTTCGGTATCGTCTCTACTGCCGACTATAACTTGCTCATCCGATGATTCTTCTCCGTTGATTGGTGCATTTGATATCCATTCTTTGATATGGAAACCGCCTGATTCGAGTACTTCATCGATGTCTAATGTAAGATCTTTGGCTTCTTCTTTGGTGGAAACGGAGTCGCATATATCGTCAACATAAGCGTTCTTGACAATTGCTTCTGCAGCTCTCGGCTTGACATCTTCCTTTAGACTGGCTGTCTTTCGCATTGCAGTCGTAGCCATGGCAGGCGCTGGTCGGTCTCCGAAGGTTAGAACAGTTTTTACGTAAATGTCCAGCTCTCTTTCGGTCTCGCAATTTCGCCACACAAATCTGTGGACATGTTGATCAGCTAATGGAATTGACACCATGTGATACATTTTCGAAATATCTCTGGAGATAGCTATCGGGTTCTCTCGAAAACGGAGGATGACGCCAAATAAATTGTTCAACAAATCGGGTCCTTTGTACCAGTAGTCGTTGAGGGTATGGCCTTCGTATGTTGCTGAACTGTTAAACACGATCCTCACGGGTGTACTCCTTTTCTCAGGACAGATGACAGCGTGGTGGGAAATGTAGTGCACAGGTCCCGTCCATTCTTCTAATTCTTTCTTTGCCAGCTTTCTAGAAAACTTCATGTCTCCCATCTCCTTCATTTGACTGTTATAGCTCTCTGCATGATCTGGTTGTGACAGCAGTCGTCGCTCAGTGCTTTCCATTCTTCTGACTACATGGGTGTAGTTGTCGGGCAATTCTTTTGGATCTCTTTTCCAAGGGTACTTCATAGTCCATTTATTATCTTCTAGGCTGCACGACTCCTCAATTATCTTCATTTCAGACCGTTCTTGTGGTGAGATTTTCGCTGCTTCGCATGTACAAGGTGACACAGATACTCCCATTGATTCAGTTGTCCAAAACTCACTTAAGTCCACTGGTGGAGCAAATCTAACATGGAGAACTTGTTTTACTTCAGGAGGTGAACGTTGGGACTTCACTCCAAATATCACCCATCCTAACGGACTCTTACGCGCTGCGAGACCATTCGCTGCGAGACCACCTGTATGAAAGGTTGGATAGTTTATTCCAATTAAAATGTCAATGGGTCCTGGTTTTCGTTGAAATTCATTCTTTGGCAGGCCAAACATTTCTGACACTTGGTTGACATTAATTGTTGTTGTATCGTGCGAGATTTGGGGAATACCTACTGCTTCAATTGTTTGAATTGCTCGTCCATTTGCGGCATAAATCGGTACCTTGTATAACTTGGTGTTTAATTCTTGCTCAGTCTCTCCTACTTTGGCAATGAAAATTGTTACAGGCTTGCTTTCTAGTCCCAGTTCTTCAGCAAAGTCATCTCTAATCATACCGACTTGGGCACCACTGCCATAAAACACGCTCGCCTTTCCGTTCTGGGACCTTTTACTGTGGCAGAGATAATAGGTAGAACGGCTTCGCTGTTGTCTTGTATGAATCCAACAACATTTCTAGGATCAGGACTTGTTTTTCCATGGAGAAGCCTGTGGTGAGGTTTCTTACAACTGGAACCGTCATGGGTTTTTTCCTGACATTCCTTTTTTCGCAGGCAGTTTGAGGCTGTGTGACCTTTACTTCGCTTAAGACAACTAAAGCATGCTTTCTGCTCGTTTACAATTTCCCATCGTTGCATGGGTGTCATGGATTTAAACTGAGGGCATTGGTCAACATAGTGCATGGCTTTGCAAACATAACATTGTGTCTTTGGGCTGTCCGACACTGACGAGTTAATTAATTTTAAATTTCTCAAGGTCTGCAGTAATTGTATCCGAGATGATTCTAGGATCTCCATAGTTGTGGTCCAGGTATTTCCATGCAGTTTTGAGACCAGTTGTTATTTCTTCAATGAGCTTAGCTGGTTCAGGGCCCAAACATGACCGAAGAATAGTGATAGCATCTCTTTCTGAACAGTGATGTTCAATGGCGTGTTGGAAATCAGACTTGAATATGAAATGTTTTCTAACGTCTCCATAAAAGGTTGGCAATTTTGGTTTTTCATGCTTTACATAGAATGACTTTGAGGGCATTGTTACAGGGGGGACATCTACTTCACCCGTATTTCCAGTTTCAGTCGACTGAGATTCACTTGAGAGTACATTGTCACTGGGAGGCTGAGTACTAGGCTGATTATTTATTTCAATGCTGGCTGCACTTACTTCTTCATTTACTTTTGTCTGACTGGTCTTTAATTTGATATAATCATTGATGACAATAGAAAGCTGTGTGTACTCACTTGAACAATCATTTAACCAGTTCTCGGCTTCATTAAATTCTTCATCATTCAAAAACATAGCGTATTCTTCATGTTTGACTATTAAAGCTGCATATGAATCTTTATTTCCTTTAAAATATCCTCAATTTCCTGAACTGGCCGTTCAGCTCCAAGTAAAACCTTTGCAGTCCTAATAACTCGAGTTAACTTTCCTTTAGCGGCACGGCGAACATTCTTGACCTTTTCCAATCGTTCCTTTCCCTCAGACATTGTATAAACAAATACAGTATTATTCAAACATTAATAGCAACATAAATCCACATAAATTTTCACTTGTAAACCTTTGAAATACAGTAGCAAGGAAATGTTCAGATGATGTTTCCTTAGTTCAAGATTAGTTAATATAAATTAGTTGAATGAAACCAATAGAAGGCTATATAATTTCGTAAGGTTACATAATTTCTTTATCAATGATCATAACTATAGACAATTGGTGTCTGCTTTCATTACAGACTTTGATAGATCATTTTTATACAAATTTAGCAGAGTCAGAAGCTAAGTCACACATATTGGAAACATTTCTCTTAAAGCACTTTCTAGCAGTATGTGCATTGAATAATTGCTTTCATTAAAGAAAAGTCAAAGTAATAGTGGCTGCATAAAGAGCAGAGATTCAGTTTTAGATTGGAATATAAATACTTATAGTAACAGTTGCAACCAGTCATAATTATCAACTTGCAGCATATAACTATATATCCTGGAGAGGGTGCTCCCTTCTTCACCCACCCTGATTTCTGCAACTGAATGTCATTGCCAAGAACACCAGGCAAGCAATTTATATCCTCCTTCACCTATCCTATACTATATTGTCTTATAATCAACAACAACCATATGTCATAATGGGATCTTATTTATAGCACAAAATGTACAAAACTAACATAATATTCTGTTTAGTGGATTTTCTTCCACGACAAAATATTATTGCATGGATCTGGTATGCTGAATTATATCATTCTATTCAAGAACTATATGCATCGATTATACTTCTAATTTCCATACTTGTCATCATTTGTTGCTGATGAATGACGTCTTTCAATATATGACTAGCCTGCGTGGCAGGCCCTCAAATTTATGGGGGGCCTAATTTGCAGCGGACATGATTTTGGCGGGCTCCGGGGGAGGATTGAGGGCCTGCAGGAAAGCCCACCTTTCATGACTACACGCCCCAGTCATAACATAATTAATGGATTTCTAAAATTGACCAATAAAAATTCAGCTGCTATTGGGGAAAACCCTGGCCCGAAAGAAATATATTCGCTTGCACGTAAACATGTCAATCAAACAATATTGCGAATTAAACTCCCGACGATTTAATACAGTATTGCAGCTTTTGTACATGTTGTTTTAAATTAAACAGCAATTTGGCAATTTTAGTAAAATTGTTCATGTTTCATCACAAAAACCATCACAAAGAAAACAATCTTTCGGAATTGTGCTCTCAGATTATATGTGAGAAAGTTGGCTTCAAGAAAAATTCTAAGAGTGCATGATATTGTAACCGAATTAAAATCTTCAGTTAATACACTACACGAGAAGTTTCAACACCATTACCAGTCCAAAGATGTAGATACATCAGGAAAGCGTCAACTGTTAACTCCTGACCCGCTGACCGTGGCGGACGATAGGCGAACTGTGAACAACAATTACAATTCAAATACTGTAGTCAAGAAAGACTTTGCAATAGCGAAGCAAGTTGATGGGCGGGCGGCACACATGACCGACACAACTCGGCACCAGAGCGGGCAGAGCACTCCCCCCCCCCCCCCCCCCCCCCCCCTGGATCCATCCCTGCAAGAAAATTATAAAACTAAGATGATTCAACAAGAACATCATAAAATTGAATATCATCTTTGTGAAGTTATGGCCGGAATTAGTTTCTGCAAGTTGAATATATATCAGCCATTTTATTTTTCTTTCATCTGACATACTATAAATCTAACTTTATTTAACTGGTCAACTGTTAAACATCAGTCCCTTATAAATTTTTACAAGCTACTGAGTGTTGATTGAAGCCCTTGGCAACAGTGCAATCACCATGAGCAGATACATGTACGCTTAGCGTACCTTTTTTTACTACTATTCTTAAGTTTTACATTTCCTTCTCACAATTAGAACAATCGATGTAATTTCTTTCTAGTTTAGATACTTAATTTGTGAAAGATACTTGATTTGCACGTGGAAAACGGGTAGAGTCGCTTCTTTAATCATGACAGTGCCCGTACCCAATTCAGGGCCGTAGCGAGGGGGGGGGGGTATTGAGGGCTAACCACCCCCCCAACTTTTTTAGAATTAACATATTCGGAAAATCAGGTTGGCCATTCGCAAAGTTACGGCAATAAATAATATTATAACAAAATTTTAGTTGTTAAACACAGAAAATATAGTATAACTGTGTTATCAGTATAAACTGATTTACGAAATCTTGGCATTTACATGGATAACATTTAACAAATCGGTAAGTGTTTTTCGGTTTATTACTTCTCAGGGCCTTAGCAACCGGGGGGGGGGAGGGGGGGGGACGCAGCCTTCCCAAAATTTTTCTAATAATCATACTTTTTTCAATATCATGCAGACCTTTATCATTTAAATAATATACCTTTAAAATACTGACAACTGATTAATTTCACTGTTGATGCAATGGAAGTGTTGATAAAATATTGCATGAATTCGTTTCCTCAAGTTGATCAATTCATACGAATTCAAATTTCTTTTTACTTCCTACGCGTTTCCTATTGATCAATCGGTTCTGAAACGAAATCTAATTGGCTCATGTAAAAGTAACAGGAAGCTGATCAATTTTCTATCAAAAGAATTGATCAACTTGAGGAAAGGAATTCCATGCAATATTTTATCAACACTTCTATTACATCGACAGTAAGCGGCTACATTATCCATGACAAATTGCAAAGAATCATATTACCCATACCTTCCTACAACTTCTCCAAAATATAGCTAACTAAATACACCTTCGTTCATTTAGTACTACTAAATTGTAAGCAAATTGTAATTTTCGACATACTAAAACGCTGTTTTCTGACCATCAGAATTCTGTCAAAACTTCCCCAAAGCCCAGGAAAATGGCACTTCAGAGACTCTAAATTTAAAAATTTCCTCGGGCCTTCGGCCCTCGTTTCAGCCTCCCAATCAAAAAGAACTTTCTACGGCACAGCATCCTACTTTAATTTCTTTTTGTTTAAAATATGCGTATTTTTGTTTGTAAATCGCGTCTTCATTTTCCGGATATAGCAAACACCTTCGTGGCTTGAAGGCTTCGTATGCCATGAAATATTCGGAAATTTTTCTCGTGGCATTTGGAAATTTTTGAATGGGAGCAAGTCCCGTATAACGTTCTATTATTTCTATCAGCATCTACCGCTACCAAAAATTCATCGAAATTTTAAAGTCATATGGGCACTATGTCACTGCATACATATATGTATTAATGTATATATGTACAATATAGAAAGTAAACAATCATATACCTAACATCGAGACATGGGAACATGCAGGTGATGGTTATGTTGGGATAGTAGCGTTGCGGACTGCAGAAGAAAAAGGCTCTGTCATGCACCACCCCATGCATAGAAAAGCTGCACCCCTACTTCCAGACAAGGCTAGATCCGCCCCAACAGTCAACTCCCAGTAAATATTTATTTATAATTTACTGTTATAGTAATTTTCGACAGTAGCTACTACGTATATATAGTGACGAGTATCCCCATCTGCCAAGCTATGATAACCATTTCCACGTACACTTTTTCAGAGAGCAAGAATAATCTTTATGATCTTTGCTTTCTTTAACTAAGCTGTATTATTCAATTTTTGACAAGGAATCCACGAGGTGTAATGAAAATTGCATCTTACATTAAATTATTACTGGATTGATCAATTGTCATTTGTTCAGTGGTGAAATATTAAATGCAAGCGTTTGTAGACCTCGGTAGTATAGTGGTGAGTATCCCCGCCTCTCACGCGGGAGACCGGGGTTCTATTCCCCGCCGAGGAGGAATGTGTTTTTTTTACTACTATTCTCTTTTCCGTCCTTTTCCCGCAATTAGAACAAACGAATATAATCCTTTTTCAAGTTTAACTAATTAATTTTAGCAGATTCCTGATTTGCACAGCGAAAACTAGCTTCTTCCCAGGCATGGCAGTGCACTTGCCTGTGACAAATCGGGAAAATAAGTTACATCTATAGCTTCCGTAGTATTTGGCTGCCAATCAAGTCATATTACGCATTGAAAACAATATCGCTATACCAAGCAATATTACGTAACTTTGAAGCTTTTCACAAATTATAATATATCCCTTATTATGCATAATTGTGTTTTGCCACCGATCTGCTGCTGCTGCTGTTTTACGAAGTACATTGCAAAGCAGATAGACACAGAGTACTTGTGTTGCACATAATTGTGCGAACCTATGGGTATATTTTTCCAATATTTTAATTGCTGTACTTCAAATTGCTAAACTGAGATTATTAAACAATAAATAATTATAATCGGTAACGTGCAAAAATAGCTGAAACTGGTAAACAGCCTTTTTAAAATTTATGCCCATAATGACGTCCTGTATACCATTACTAAGCAGCATAACCTCCGGTCCTGTTGCTGCAGTTTGCAGCGACAATTAAAATCAATTAAATGTATTACAAGTTCAGGAGCATATTTTGAATATGAATGCATGGTAGTCAGTTTTTAAAGTATTTGTCTCCAACACTACCACATCTCCTTCGATAGCTCAGTTGGTAGAGCGAGGGACTGTAGTTGTTCGAAGCAATAAACCTAGGGTCATGGGTTGGAATCCGGTTCGAAGGATTCTGAATTTAGATGTGCGGCTAAAAAAGCTTCCTCTTTCTTACGTGAACTTGAGCTACTAGCTACATCGAATCTGGAGTAAGTGTCCAATCGTTCAACCATTTCTTAAATTAAAGTAGAACTGAAGATGACAGAGAAGTACTAATTGATGAAATTATTTTCTGAACAAAAAAAACACATGCGCTAAGAGAGAGTGAGGGGTTTTACACCTGGACTAGCTTCTGTGCTTGCCGATTTTAAGGGGTTATGCAGGTAGAGACGCAGGCTCCGAGTATTCCTGCCTGGCAAACTATTCGACGAACACTATATTTCCGCTTATCAATTAATGTTATAGTACATTGTGTGAGCATGCAAGAGGAATTTAAATAATCTTCAAGCTACTTCAGCTGCATGTAAGTCATATATCACAAACATAACAGCAAATATACCTATAAATCGCAATCGTGACGTTGGCCTTTAGGCACATCCCCAAATTTGGTATGCGTCACGCAAGGGAAATATCACCTGTTCGTAAAGTATCAAAACCGAACGTCAACAATCCTCCGTAGTATAGGGCTGAGCATCCCCGCCTGTCAGGCGGCAGACAGGGGTTCGATTCCCCTCCGGGGTGCAGCATGCTTTTTTACTACTTTTTTACTCACAATTAGAACAATTGATGTAATTTTTTTCTAGTTTAGATAATTAATTTGTGAAAGATACTTGATTTGCATGCACATAGAAAACCGGTAGAGTCGCTTCTTAATCATGACAGTGCCTGTGCCAAATTGCGAAAATACGTTATATTGGGAGCAATTGGCAAACAGTGGATTACGTAATATTTTGATGCAATTGCCAAACATGTAAAGCAACGTAACATAATGAACGTAATGTATTACGCAATGTTACGTAACTTTCAGTCGAGCTTTTCATTATCATTGGCTCTCATAATCGTGAGTCCCACAAGAGCGGCGTTTGCAAACTGTAATTTATTTAAATAATAGATAAAACTGGTACCCATCGTGGTCCGGATTGGAGAGGGTTATCCTAAACATTGAGCTCTTAACCCCTCTTCAGCTAACTAGACCTCATATTTCATCCTTGAAAATATTTTTTATTAAACCAATAGATTATATCATAGCGGTTTTGAATGGGGGCAAGTCCCGTATAACGTTCTAATTCTATCAGCATCTACCGCTACACAAAAATAAAAGTCATATGGGCACTATGTCACTACTTACACATATGTATATATGTACAATATAGAAAGTAAACATACCAAACAAAGAGACATGGGAACATGCAGGCTATGCTTATGTTGGGATAGTAGCGTTGCGGACTGCGTATGCTGAAGAAAAAGGCTCTCTCATGCACCACCCCATAGTAAAGCTGCAACCCTACTTGCAGACAAGGCTAGATCCGCCATGTAATGTCAGCTATAAGTAAACATTTATTTAAATTGGACTGTTATAGTAATTCTCGATAGTAGGTAGTACGTAGATAGTGACGAGTAATCGCGTCTGTCGAGCTGGGATAACTATTCCCACGCACATTAATTCTGAGAGCAAGGATAATCTTTATGATCTTTGCTTTCCTTATTTAAGCTGTATTATTCGTTTATTGATAAGGAATCTACGAGGTGTAATGAAGGTTGTACCTTACATTAAATTATTACCAGGGGCGGCGGAACCGGGGGGGGGGGCTAGGGGGGCTGAAGCCCCCCCAGAAGTAAAAGTGGGGGGGGCTAAGCCCCCCCAGAAAATTTAGTTTTTTGTGGAAAAATTTTGATAATTAAAGAAAAATTTAGGCTATTGTTTGAAAATTTAGGTATAAGGGGAAAACTTTGCAATATTTTGTTTAAAAAATGTGTATTTCCGGAAAAAAATTTTGGTATATGTCCGGAAAAAAATTTTTCATCCCTTCTCTCGTGTATGTCCGGAAAAATTTTTGTACCCCTAAAATGGTACACTGACCAAAATTTTTTGGCGACGGGGGGGGGGTCACGGGAAAAAAATTTAGCCCCCCCAGAATGAAATCTGTTCCGCCGCCCCTGATTATTACTGGATTGATCAATGGTCATTTGTTCAGTGGTGAAATATTTAGTCACAACGTTTGTAGTCCTAGGTAGTATAGTGGTGAATATCTCCGCATGTCACGCGGGAGACTGGGGTTCGATTTATCCGCCGAGGAAGAATGTGTTTTTTACTTCTACTCTCTTTTCCGTTCTTTTCTCGCAATTAGAACAAACAAATATAATCCTTTTTCGTGTTTAACTAATTAATTTTAGCAGATTCCTGATTTGCACAGCGAACACTAGCCTTTTCTCCAGTCCTGCCAGTGCACATGCCCAGGGGCGTAGGAACCGGTGGGGCCAGGAGGGCCCAGGCCCCCCAAGTTTTGCCAAGTGCCTTTTTCCGGGAGCAAAATGCCCTTTTTGTTGCGTGAAAAACGTTATTAAGATTGCATTTTTTGCCCAAAGGGCACTTTTGAAAACTTGAGTTTTTGTTTTTTCCGGAAAATGTTTTTCATTTCTGAGAAAAATATCATGTATCCGGAAAAATTTTTTGTATGTCTGTATATTCGGAAAATTTTTTTGGTATGACCGCATTAAAATTTTTGAGATGACTTCCCCTCTTCCCCCCCCCCCCCCCCCC